ATCATTTATTTATGAACCTATATATTTATATATAATAAAATAAAAAAATATGATATAAAAAGATTTATTTAGATAATTCAATTATGTATCTTAGGTAACTTACTAACTACATGAGTTAAAATTAAAGTTAAAAATATATCTGTGTTTTTGTATATTTTGTGTTTTCTCCAGATAAATTTATCTACAAACACTGCAAGTCATTTGCATGATAATAGATAATAATAGATTTTGACATGGATAAAATATTTCTTTTCTTGTATAATTATATCGAGAAAATACCGAATGGTTGGGAGGTTCAATCTATTTTTCACATTAATCATTTTCTTCTCATTTATTTGGCCTACTTTTGTTTTGTTTTTTTTTTTTTTTTATTATTGTGTTTTCGAGTGCATTTTAATTCAATATACAGAAAGGACCGTTTTGGTTCAGACGTCAGAATACTAAACCGAAGGATAAGTATGCATTAGAGTACCGTAAGCCATATATCACTGAATATTAATGGCTTATAAATATACGAAATCGTTTCAAAATACGTAGATGTTAAATGGTATATAATAGTATGACGTATTATGTGTGGTCGCGAATTAGAAATTCCGTAATGTTGATTAAACTTGCAGCATATCATCATGTATGAACGCATTCATCAATTCTATACTACCATTAAGATCTTGCACATTATTTATCACAGTACTACGATTCTATTAAAAGGCAACAATATTATTTACAATGTGTATATAATTTAATTATATGTGTGTGTATCATAGGCAATTTCACGAGCTCACAAACTTTCCTTAAAAATTGTAGATATTATTCGAATACATTTTTTTTGTGTGTTTATTTGTTTTAGATTCTGAGTAGAATGAGGAATGTATTGGTTGTACAATGATGTTTATTATTATAATTTTGTTTTTATATGAACACTTTTTCTACCAGAAAGCTTACTCTGATTATCAATCATAGCACTTTTTCTAAAACGAAATGTTTTCTGGGTGGTATTTTAGAGAGGTAATTTTTTAAATTCTTATTAAAATTCAAGGTAATAAGGAAAACCTGGTTGTTAGGGTTAAAAAGATTGACAGATTAAAAATAAGGTTGTCATTGGCAACCCTTTTTATTTGTTTTTTGTTATTTTTAAGTTTTTATTATTTCAATTTTTTTAAATAATCATTGTTGTAATCATTTTAACACAATTGACACATATATTGTTGATAAAGCAATACTATCAACTGAACTCCGCTCAGAATTGTTTTTTCGTGAGCAATGGTTTATCGTTGCTTACATATATATATATTAAATTCTCGTCTGTATCCTATCTTTTCAACTTATCATCAATAAAAGTGGCTGCACCCACGTGCAAAGTATGCACGGCCTTTTTTTTTGTGATATGAAAGAAAAAATTGATACTGTTCACTGTTCACTGTTCACCAATATTTAGGTTATATACAGTAGTTATGCAACGATAAATCATTGAAAACGAAAAATGATTTCGAATGTAGTAGTAATAATCGTGGGTTTTCTCCGTGTTACCAAGGTAACCAAGAAATGAACAAAAATTATTATAGGAATACCTTTTACTTCATCCCAGGCACGTATTCAGCATTATTTCATTAACTCATATTTACTCTATTGACAAAGATTTTAAATATTGTAATAATTAATTTTGTTTTCATATCTCGAGTCTTGAAGGGAGCATTAACTCCTAAAACCTTCCCCGTTAAAACGCTACTGCTTCACCCCATTGTATCTTCGTTTTTTCGAAATTGGATGAAGACTATTAATTTGATTCACGCTGTATTAAAATTTGCTGTGCAGGTACGTGTTTGAAATGTTCGATTCCTTTTTTTCGTCTTTACGTTGCAATAATGCAATATTGTACGAATGCGTGGTTGTTCGCCTAGGAAACCTTCACACATCACGTCATAATTGTTACGGCAGTCGATGCTGCCGCCGGTGGAAAGTATCGCGAAAATAATATAATACGCTCGCGCTCGAACACGTCGTCGTAGGGTTTTAAGAAGTAATAAAAATAAAAAACTTCTTCAACGCGACAACGACGACGACGTGTTCGAGAGCAGCGGATTTCTGTGTCGTCCGATACGCCGGATCAATAAACCCGCGTGGCAGACGCAGGCTATATAATACACAGACTGGTCGGGGGAAGGGGGAGAGGGAGGGGGAGTGTTGGCTGCGGGAACCGAGTGACAACGTAATTGAAATAAATGCCGACAACTTAAATGCGCAAATGAATGGGGAAAAGATGACGTGTATATATATATACATAGAAACCAGAGATTTAAACAAAGAAATAGTGTCCTATACGCACAATAGCAAAAACTGTTTTGTTGTTTATGCCGTGTTATTCTTGACGGTAAAATATATAATAATAATATAATATTATTTGCGTTTCGCGACGCAGCGCCGAATTAAATGGAATAAAACGGCCAAGAGACGAGATTATAATCGAAAAATGCTCGAATTAACACGCATAGCCGAACGGGCCGGAGAGTATAAATGTTATAAGTAAAATAAACATCCACTGCTACTACAGCGCAACGGTGTTTACGAATGTACCGCGCGACGAGCGTGTAATATTATGCTCTCTCGGTTTCTTCGTTTTGTTTCTACGTCCGTTTACGACATACATAATAATAATAATAATAATAATATATGATAATAATCGATTGCGTTATTGTCCAAAAACTTATAACGACACAATGCGGTGTTATATACTCGGAAAGTTCAAAATGTTATTACGAGCGATTCTGATCTGTGGCTCTGGAGGGTGAGCGACTATCCGGTTCGACAAAGTACTAGCTACTATTTGTTCGACGTTTCTCCGGCGACGATTTTGAAAATTACGAGGAAACCCTTCTTGGTCTTCGACAGATTAGTAATCTATTAAAAACTTGAGCTGCCGCTAGTATGCTTCTCCGTCTTCTCTGTCCCAAAAGCCCAGTCTATTCTTGCATTATCTTCTACCGGTATTATCATATCCTTTTACACGGCATTCGTTCCGCCAGAACGTTCTTTAATACATCATCGTATTGGAGATTTATTGCGAAGAATGTTCCATATATGTCTCGACCGTTTCAATCGTTTACCTCTTACATAAGTGAGGATACAATTAGGAATACAATTTATTATCGGGTCTCTTTTCGTATACTTTTGTGTCATTATTGATGTCAATCTACGATCGTAGGATTTTGATACCCACAATACAATTTATCTTCTCCTGTAATAATATCCTATTAATCTCTGATAAATATATTGATCAATATTATATACTTGATTAATTTGTCAATTAATTTACGCTGGTCGAAAACCCATGCGAATAAGAAACATAACAATTTTAACACTTGTAAAACGAGATAGTAGGAAAAGAAATAATTGGTTTTGCAGAACATACGAGTATTTGCCGCAATCAAGACATTTTTACCGCAAAACTATAAACATCATAGAATCTATTGACCTTACGTAGCTCTTTAATCGTAGGTGTAAATATAACATAGTATATATTAACACCCATCAAGTACAGTTTTAGCTGGGAAAGCTGGGGGTATAAGAAATACTTGCGATAAATTACTGGACAGGTGTAAATAAAATGGGATATATTTAGAATTCATCTATCTCAGTGCATTTTGACCGAAAAGTTAAGAATAAAACCAAGGATATATTTACCAAAAGTTAAATACTACAACCTAGAATATTTTTACCTACCCTAGAATTTTGTTGTGGATTGCTGTACATATCCTAGATTTTTTTTTTTAGTGGACAGGTTACAATTGTTCTAAAGTAACTTGTGTACAAAGTAATTTTTAGATTCCGAGCTTAGCGAGGTATTTATTGGTTTTGCTACGATGTGTATTTTGTATTTTGTATTTTGTATTTTTTATATCTATGAACAATTTTTCTATCAGGAATCTTTAATGTATAGAATGTAGCAATTTTTTTGATTTTCTAAATGGTTTTCAAAATAATTAGGAAAAACTCAAAAGAAAACTATAGGTAAAACATCTAAAATTTTCTGTGGCCAATATTTATGCCACCGTGGCATTACCATTTGCATTGTTTTTAATTTTTGAAACTTATGTTTGCTAACAGAAATATTTCTCCAAACGAAAAATAACAAAAGATCGATATTGTTCATTTTAACATGTAGCTACTTAAAAATTGAAATATCAAAATATCGACCTGACCTTTAAGTTTGATAATGGATCATTTTATTTTGATAAAATTTATATATTGTTACAAAATTCATAATAAATATTGTAAAACGCATAAAAAAAAAAAAAAGGAAAAATGACCTAAACAATTTTAAAATCAAAAATATCAAAGAAGAAAAACGAAATAATTGTTTAACAACTGATTTCATTGCTGCATAGTTTTAGTTCTGTACTGAGAAACTCACTTTGTACTTGGAAAGCTATTTCTTAAATAAGTTTTTTTAAAAAAAATATTCATTCGCCATAAAGTCACAATTTTATAGGTATTTCAGTAGTTATAACGAGAGGAGAACATTGTATTTTTTTCCGTGTTAATTTTATAAATACATCATATTTAATTAAATTTAATATTATTTACTTGTTATTTTTATATTCCTTAACTAGAAAAAAATTCTATAATAATATTTTATAAGGTGAATGTAGCAGTAGAATGTAAGATGTTCATTATCTCAGAAAGTATTAATTGATGGTAAAAATGTGGACTGATACTTAACATACACTTGGCGTCACAAAAATCGCACCTATTGCAAATTATTTTTCAAAGTAATTTTAACTACACTTAATCATATATAAGGGTACTGTTATGATATATCATTTGAAAGGTGATGAAATAAACTTGAAAAATAAATAAATGGTATGTGTTTTTGTTTATCAGTGTTTTAAAAAATAAGTTAATCGTGGAAGAGGAAAACAAATTGTATTGAGGATATACAGTTTTACAAACAGAAACAGACAATAGACTTCATATAAAAATAAAAAACTGTTACTAAATGTTATTTAAAATCTAGTGCTACTTCCTCTTGCCTTAATTACTGCTTCCATACGATCTTTCATAGAAGTTATGAGTCGTACGATGCGTTCTTGAGGAATGTTCACCCATTCCGCAACAACAGCATATTGAAGATCTTGGAGGGTTGTTGGGGCAGGATCATGTGACCGCACTCTTCGTTTAAATTCGTCCCAGAGGTGCTCAATTGGGTTTAGGTCTGGACTTCTCGCTGGCCAGTTCATAACAGGGATCCCAACCTCTTCCGTATAATTTTTTACAATTAATGCGGTGTGGGAACGAGCATTGTCGTGCATTAGTATAAACCCATCTCCAACAAAACCCGCATATGGTACCACATGCTCTTCTAAGATCTCTGTAATGTATCGATCAGAAGTTAGCGATCCTTGTCCTCGAGCGCCACTAGTTCGGGAAACGCACACAAGCTCGGTCTTGCTATCGATGGAAATGCCGTCCCAGAACATGCATGATCCACCTCCATANTTCCATTGGTCAAGCGTCCAATTAAAATGTTCACGGGCAAAATGTAACCGTTCTTTGCGGTGCTGTGCAGTCAGTTTCGGACCGGTAGCAGGTCTGCGGGCCACAATTTTTTGTTCTCCTAACCTTCTCCTAACTGTAGAGGTGCTTACTGTTGTACTGCGAGCTGCGCGGAGTTGCTGTTGAAGCTCTACAGCATTGGAAAATCGATTGCGCAAAGACGTCGAGACAATAAAACGATCATCTCTGTCCGTTGTGCAGCGATGTCGGCCTGATCCATGCCTCCGGATAAAGCCACCAGTCTCTTGATAACGTTGGAAAACTCGTCGAACGGCAAAACGGCTCAAGTTTAGTTGCCGTGCAACATCACATTGACGCATCCCTGATTCCATTAATGCTACCACTTGAGCGGCTTCGTTAGCAGTTGTATCCATTTAATACGTTATTTTTTGAAATAATATTGTTTAAAGAGTATTCACGTACGTCCTTTTCAATGTTTAGGAAGTGAATGACCTGCATTTGACACTTTAAACTGATTTTTCTATAGCCAAAGAATATAAGATAAGATAGGAGTATATTTATACATTTTCCTAATGCACCGTATACTCGGAATATGATTATTGTTTATGAAATGAAACTACTATCGGATAAGAGGTCATTAACTGTACTTTCAATTTATATCTTTATTGTTTGGATTAAATGTTTTGGTTCGGGGAAATGCCCGTTTGAAACTTGATTTTAAAGATGTGCGATTTTTGTGACGCCAAGTGTAGTTGCGGAAAGTTAGCGAAAAGGATATAAATTTACGGAACTACAGAGATTGATGAATATTGGAGCGGTAACTATAATAGCTTTATCTAGGGTCAATGCAAATGTCTGTGGTTAGGTCATTTCAACATAGGAAAGATCATTATTCTTATAGGTGTCTCGATAGAAAAGGCCGCGTGATAAGCCTCGAAAAAAACGTATAAGTTATACGGTGTAGTTGTGTACAAAGGATTTTAGAGCATTTTTTGTGTTGTAAATTGGAAGGAATTGCGGAACACGATCGGTAGAGATACTATTACTAATCGTTTGTGGGAGGAGAAAAAGAAAGTATTATTTAAGTATTGACATGAAAGTCAGAAATATAGCTGCGTTTCAGAAAATGTCTGGATATTACATAAGTGAATAGAGTGGATATGTAAGTGTCCTGAGTTTCGTTTAAAACTAACATCATATACGGACCTACCGTTTTAAATTGTTTATTTTTTTTTTATGTTAGATAATAAAGCCATGAGTTATTATTTTAGGTAGGTACTTACTCTTATAATGGTTTTTAATAATATTATAACGCCTATATTTGAATTGTGTACCTATTACGTTTTTACAGCTCGCGCAACAATATATAACATTGTGACGGGCGTCTTATTAAAACCAGACGCACGTAGTTTTACATTGTAGGTTATTGTGCTGAAAAAAAAAATAATAATAACAATGGCGTAAGTAGTTTACTGTTTGTATACGTAAAATGTACAGTATAATTACCTACGGTCACGATATTATTACAGACGAAAATGGCGTCCAAAGCATAGGTACTTACCGTATTCGACAGTAAAAACGAAACTTTTGAACAAACAGTATAATCGTTGCCTGTAATAGTTGTAAAATATTAGTAATTAAATTATTATTGTTTTAATAGCTATGCAAAATTGTAAAAAGATCTTAAATACAAAATTCTGTTTACTGCAGCAGTCTGTTTCGTGCGTAGTATTTATAACGACAAAAAGGCATTTGGTACTTCAAAGATTGCCATTCTCTGTTTGAGTTTAGGGCGAACGGGCCTATATTGACAGCGCCCCATGTACACCAGTGATCTACCCCCACGAGAAGTATTCTGTATGAGGAAGTGTATATCAGCGATATACAAAACGCCAACAATAAACTGGTTTTTGCCGAATTTTCCACAATAAAAGACACTATTCTATTGTATTTTGTCTGTTATATATATAATATATATATATATATTGTTCCCAAACTTCTTTTGAATATTTTATCTGTTTGGACCAAAATGAACTCAACCTCGGGAGAAATATTCAAGAAAAATAGAAAAAAATGATCTCCCCTCAACACATCAAATAAGATGAAAAATTCTACAAAAAAGCTTTCTTGTCGCTTTTTGATTGGAGCAAGATTTCTGATCGAAAGTTTGTTTACAGACACACAAAATAAAAAAAGTGAACGAATCATAGTAAAACCAATACGATTACCACGATTATGTTCATAGTTTAAAGTAAAATAGTATAATGGCAGCTGTGGACAAATTTGACTTCAGTGACAGAGCTTTTTATTGCTTTCGGGTGTTTTTAGATTCTAAGCGAAGCGAGAAATGATTTGGTTTTATAAAGATGTGTCTTTTTGTCTTTAAGCATATTTTCTTCAAGATATGCTGTTTCAATCAAAAACGTTATATGAACTTTCTTGTAGAATTTTTGATCTAGTTAATATGTTGAAAGGTACTTTTTATGATTTTCTTTATAGTTTTCTTAATAAAATAGAAAACACTGATAAAGTTTGAATTTTTTTTTATTTATCCTGGGTAAAATATGACTAATTGTCTTCTGGTCAGAATCATATCAACATGAATGACTTTGCTCAGTATTTCGTTATCAATGGTTTATCGTTGCATATAGTTATATTTTAAATTACTTATTTATATATAATATCTTACCTTTCTATTGCCTTCGTAAAACAATGACACACCCATCAGTAGTATTATGTTGCTTTTAATTTTTTTTTTTTGATTTTTATAGTGCAATTAATTCACTGCTCTAGTGAGACCGTGTACCGGACTATGTTCCACGAGTAGGACCGTTGTGGAGTTCACTACGTGGAGATTTTTACATTGCGCATTTTGGTATTCAAATCTTGTCATACGTGGACAAAAAACGATCGAGTGTCTCTCGACGGTTATAGGTTCTCATGGGTATACCAAAATAATATAATATGCAATATAGAAAATAAATATTGTAGCCGTTGATCGATAAATGTTATCGCGTAGTGTCATCTGCCGGCAGCAGCTGCTGTTGTACTTACCTATACATATGTATTGCTGTCCCGGGTGTCTGTCCCTATTTTTCCCACTTCTATCTATTTACGGAGGGATGAACAGATTTCGCGACTTGACGTGCACAGGTGTTTGGCACGCGAAAATTAATCCCCTGCCCCTTCCACGCATACACAAACGCTGTCCTTACTGGATTTGTACGAATGCCATCGAAAAGGCCGAGAGAAAATAAATATATATATATTTAAAAAAAAAATGAAGACCTTTGCCGTTTGCTTTATGCGTGGAACGACATCACCCATATACTATTTCGCGCCATCGTAAATAAAATGTAGGCATATGACGAGCAACTTGGGTGAGAAATTCTTCACGTGAAGTGACTGATTCACTCGGTCAAAACTCCATATAATATTTCCAACTATGCGAGGATTTTATTTTAAAAGACCGATATACTTCGCACTTTGTGTAGACCACTGTTGTATTAACACTACATTATTTACGATATAGTATTAGATAATTTAATTTGCGTACAAAAAAAAAAAAACAACTACTGTGTTACTTTTATTTAATTAAGTTGTATTTTTAATTGTACTACTATATCAATGATTATTATTAATTGAATTCACTGTAATTAATGAATTATAATTAATTAAACTGAATAAATTAATAAATAAATAAAATGAATGATACTGAAAGAAACGATGATTTTTTTGCAATAAATGGACGATTCTGAGTAGGGCTCGATAAAAATGTAAACGACGGTTTATTGACATAGCATTTTATTGGTATGAAAATCAGAGGAACATTTCAACCAAAAATAATTTTTTTTTTTTCAATCACATATAAATTAATTTTTTAGTATTCTGAGCGGAGTGAGGTATTGGTTTTACAATGATGTTTATTTTATTTTTTATGTGAAAACTTTCTCTACCAGTGAGCTTACTCAAATTATCAAGCATAGCACTTTTTCTGAAATGAAATGTTTTCTGGGTGGTAATTTAGAGAGGTCATTTTTTTGAAATTCTCATCAATATTTGATATAATGAGAAAAATCTGGTTCTTTAGGTTAAAAATGATTGACAGATTAAAAATAAGGTTGTCATTAGCAACCGTTTTTATTTATTCTTTGTTATTATTTAGTTTTTATTACTTTAATTTTTTTTTAAACAATCATTGTTGTCATGGAAACGCACATTGTTGTAATCATTTTACCATAATATGACAAATATTGTACTTTTGGCAAAATCAACTGAACTCCGCCCAGAGTCGTTTTTTTTTTTGTTAGCATTGGTTTATCGTTGCTTACAGATACACATTAAATTTTTTCTGTGTCTTACCTTGCTAACTTCCTAACTAAAACAGTGTCTGTGCACACGTGCCAAGTATATCAGTCTCCTTTTTTTCTATTGTTTTACTAAAAAATTGTATATTTATAATCGTATGTTCATTAAAACGAAAAATATAGTTTTTAGCCTTTCGTGAAAAGTTACATTTTTAGTTGAAACGACTCTAACTCGACGAGTTAATACAACATCGTAGTAAAATTCTAATAACTTTACTCGCTCTACTATATATAAAACAATAATCATCAAAATATATGAGCGTTGTGTTTATAAAATTAGAAAACTTAATTTGAATCATTACCTAAGCACCTAAGCAGAATAATTATTGTATTGAGGGAGTTAAAATAAAATAATGTAAATTTAATAAAAGGCTACGATTGTATTCGTGACTTAATAAAACAAATAAGTGATAATAATGTTTTATTTTCTTAATAATAATAAAATATATTTTAGAAACAAATATTCGGCGTTTCATATAATTAATTCCTGCGTTTATATATATGAAGAAATCGTGAACAAAAGGAATATAATTTTGAATACAACTTCGCGATAAACTCAATTAATTCCGTCATCGTAAAATATAAAGTCAAGTTTTAAATTTGTCATAGGGTTTTTTGTTTTTTTTTTAACTTCCTGAAATAATTTTATTGTTATTTAGTCTTCCTTTGAACTATGTATTTTTTTAAACACATTTTGATAGTGATAGTACATGGCAAAAATGATAATAAAATTGTAATTTAGTAGGTAATAAGTAAACAAATATAATGACACTAGTCGTCATGGAAAAATTAAAAACGATTGGAAACCATATAACTTACAAGTAACAATAATAGAATTCATAATATTGATTACGGGTAGGCCATTGTTGTAGGTAAGTATATTTGAGAAGGTATAGGATATATAGGGTAATTCAGTTTATATAATGTACGATAAATTATTTCAAAAGAAAAATACGATTCTGAATGGAGTAGTATGAGCGGTTTACTGGAGTTATTTCCCTTAATACCTTGTTAAACTTGCAGAATCAGAAATAAAAAAAAAGAACTTGAGGTTAAACTGCTGGGAATATGGAAATAAATTAGTATCAGCTGAAAAATCAATGTATCATTTAAGGTATGACACGAAACCATGTTCCAAATGTTTTTTCTTTTGTTTTTTCTATGACAGTCGATTTTAAAATAATTATTATAATTATTTACGTTAACTACCGTCGAAATTAATAATAGAAAAGAAAAAACCTCGTGAAAAATGTTATAGTTAAATTATAATATACATTTCGCAAGAAAACGTTTGCGGTGT